ATTACAGTCGTGTCACACAAAAAAGATTAGTTTTAATTTTCTTCCTGGCTGTGGAAGTCCCAGTGGTATATAGGTGAAAGCCGTATGGGATGAGTCAACAGTGCTCTCTGCTGGCAACAAGGAAATCTTGCAGGAAACATAGCTGGAAGTTGCCTTAAAATTACCTTCAAAAATAAAGCATGAAATGAAGCATGAATATGTATCTGTCTAAGGCCCCGAGACATTTATAGGCAAATCTATAGAAGAACATGACTTACAAGGTGGTCAAGCAGCATGCTGTTTACTGCAGACATGATTTTGAAAATTATGTTATACTAGCAGTGTTTCCACAATTTCTTAACATACTGTTGCATACAATGATCAAGCATAAAGATGAAGGCAGGGAAAAAGTGTTAGGAAAAATAACTATTCAAATGTACAAGTATTCATCAAATGCACTTAAATAAAACTGAATGCTCTGTAGAAAACAATTGTTTAAAAACAATTTAAAAATTCCTATGTGTCTGCATATATACACACATGGAGAATACTGCAGAACAAGGATAGAGCTCTCAGAAGTTTGGAAAATCTGTAGAACAATTGTATCCTATTTGATTGTATCAACCTCTTCTTCAAGAGCAAACTTTAAAAACCAAGAATACCCTTTTTAAACAACTGTTAAATAACTTAGAAGAATAACTCTGTAAAACCATTTTATTTTCCAGCTTGGGTCCCCTCTAACAACAGCTAGAAAATCAAGACAGCAGCATCTACTTCTAAAACTAACTGGATGCCATAAGCACAATATTAAGAAAATAAATGTTCTTGTATAGCCATGGCTTTGAAATAAGGCAACGTAACGCTGCTGCACAGAACTCAGTGTGCCTTAGTAGGTTATATTTGAAATTCTGGTTTGGTGCGATGCTTCATCACTATCCCTAAAGTCAGATTTCAAATCACAGACTTGCCCTGAAGTCTATGTAAGCTCTGTTTTCAAACCCTGAAGCAGTCTCTGCTTTGGACGAGAGAGATACAAGGTACTTATTACAGTACAATCAATTTAAATCAATGAGGACAGCACTTTATATCACAAAATATGGTCTGGTCAAGATACTATGAACAACAATCAAAAAACATTAAAAGAAAGGAACTTGCTTGAGCGACTCAGAAAAACATGATTCAGTTTATCACTGCAGTTAAAAACTCAAGTTCAGGTGATCTGAGCTACAGAGTGAAATTTTGCCTAGGATGATCCTGCCGAAGTGTCGGGAAGAAACCAAAACAACCTGGCATTAATGTTGACTTACCCCAGTGAGACAAAAGACAATTGCACATTTATTTTTGCTTTTTTTAAGGGCTTCAAGACCCCTAGATGGCAGATGCTAGGAACAGTTTAATGTTAGTGTTAATGTTTTAATGTTTCCATGGAGCACTTGTGCCTCCGTGAAGCTGCTAGGGAGAGGAGTTGGGCAGAAAAGCGATGGCGCATTACAGGTTCCTTAGGATCCATGCTGCACTCACCAGGCCACCCGCCGCTGTTGCTACGTGGATACTGAATGGCAGAAACCAAAGATAATGACAAAGTACGTGGCATGAAGTAGTTCAGGTGCTGCTAATAGCGGGGGAAAGCCCGCCACTCCTGAGCTTGCAGAGCTGCTTTCTTGTTCCGCTGGAGTGTAGGACTCCACGAGGAAAATATGGAAGCCAGGTGGCAGATGACAGAAACTTGATTATTGCAGGATATAAAACGAGGCCACTACAACACCTTCAAAACACTCTTCAATCTCCCTACACAGTACTAGGCCTTCCTTGGACTGTATCTATTTTCATCCTAAAGAAAGGAACATCTAATATTGCAGATAAGATCCAAGGACACCGCAGCAGGCAGCCATACATAATTGATTTTCTTGCTTCCTCACATTCAGTGCTGCTCCACTGGCAGGTACTGATACAAGTTTAAAAACGTTCTTGGAACTAATCTTCAGACCACTCTTACCCGAATAAATCCAAAATGCACTGGTTTGCTATTTTGCAAAGGCCCCTAGGAAGCAGAGAGCCTGCGCTGCCCCTTGAAAGGTGACAGCGAACCACTAAGGTAGCACGGGACTGAAAGGCGAGGGATCCATCTCGGCTCCTTCTCCTTTCCTCTGGCATTCCCTGCTTACATTTCTAGCGTGGCTTTGCCCTGAAATAGGCTCCTTTTTCTGTCACTTCTGCTCAGGGTTTTGAAGGCTGTTTTAACACAGACTGTAATGTAAAGGTGTAGGCCACAAAGAAAGTTCTGAAAACTATTTAGTTCAGGACTAGTTGTGGAAGAAGAAATGAAGTGAATAAGATACACGGTTAACTAGGACACAACAAAAATGCTCCCACAAATGCAGGGTTAAAGAACATCATTAGAGAAATATGTTTCAGGATTGTTCGGGGTTTTTTTTTTTCTGTCATAAAGGTCTGTAGAGTTGCAAGATAAACATGCATCAAAGAGTTTGTGTTTATTAGGTATGCATTTTTATTGACTTTGCTTGTGTTCCACCTTTCAAAGAGCAGAATTGGGGCTTTTTTGTGATCAGAGGACCAGCAAGTTATACACAGATACCACATGAGTATTCAGATCTTACTTACAAGCGTAGTATAGAATATATTAGCAGCGTGTGCCTGTGTGGCTGTCTTGCATCAAGATAAAGAGAGAGAATAATGCTGCTGGGAAATTATGTGCACAAAGCTCTGTGAAGCAAGAATTAAAATGAATGAGATTAAATAGAAAATAACTACATCAGGAATATGTTCATAATTTAATTAAAATCTACCAAAAGTTGAACCATTCCACAATTAAGGTTGAAGCCCATCAACATGCTCTGTTCTATTTGGGGATTTTGCCACAGGTAAAATTACCTGTTTGGAATCGTTTCTTAATGTATGAGGAAAATGGGGTCAGCTAAGGATGTGGTATGATCATTAACTTTGACAATGTTGGACTTTGCATTTTTTTATATTGAAGATCTTGGATTTTGTCCTTCCTGGTGACAAGTCTCTGTGCCTGTGCAGGAGATTTTTATAGTCTCACTTCAAGTGTTCCGCCCTCCCTGCAGGTCAGAAATGAGGCATGTCAGACACTTCATTGCATTACTGGTATTCTTTCTCTGCAGTTACGTAGGGAAATTCTGTTTTAAAACAGTCAATACAATCTCCTTACAAGCACTGCATTTTTATGAGGGGGGGAAATGAGAAAGACAAATGATACTCCTGTTCATGAATTTGCCTCTTATCATTTCCCCTCTCTGCTCTACAGAGACTTATTTGATTCACATTAGGGGTTATTTGGGTCACTTTTACCTTGAGAGAGAAACTAATGGTAACCTAATTTGAGATTTGTACCAATTTAAGTAAGAAAATGGATTCTGAATATTTTGCATAGTTGCTAAATTTAACTGAGCGTTCAGTGAAGCATGAGTTTCCAAATGTGAATAAGAGGCTTTAAACCATTTCCCCCTATTTGTTTTTAAACTACATTTGTTACTTACGATTAGCAATTTTATGTCATTCATATGCAGTGTACTGAAACCGAATTCAGTAAACTGACCTTCTTCCACCTATTAAACTGAGCTTGGTATTTAATTATTATGCGTGCAAAGTCAAGCAGAAAAGCTAAGGAGCATTTATAAATAAGATAATTGTGTTTTATTTGCAATGAATAGGAATATTTGTGTTTATTACTTTTCATAAGAAATTTATTACTGCTTATTTTGAATTGGAATAAACACAAAATATAGAACATCTGTATCAAAGTTTAAAAAACACAACAACCAAAAGCTGTTTAATCTCATCCATTTAGCTCTATTGCACAGTCTGTTCAGTGTAACTTTTTACAGCATACCGTGCAAGAAAACAGGTCATTTAAACTCAGTAATTAGTATTACAGATAAAATGACACTGCAGCAATGTTAATTACTATAGTACTGATGTAGTATAGGAAATAATACATAATAGTCATGTCTTTAATTTTAAATTGAAGAGCAACAAAGCATGTTATTGCTACACTTCCTCTTCTTAAAGTAAATGAATGTTACTCAAGTGTGCCATTTGTATCCATGCAGAATGTTTTTAATAAATCACAATTCTTCTTTACTCAAACTGGCATATTTCACTTTCTAATGGCATAAATTAAGGAACCTCTTGCTATAGGAACTTTTCCTATGACAGTGGAAATTATGACAGAATTATATTCCACATGAAAAATTTCCACAATCATTTTCTTTTTCATTACAGCAGCTGTAAATCAGTTTGCAAATGAAGCACAACATTCGGTCTTTTTAAAGATAAAGATGAATCTTGAAGAGTATTACAGCTATTTGAAGTGTACTAGGAACTGGAGATATATAATCAAATTGTAATTAATTCTGTACTGCTATGACTAAAATACCTGGCAATTGTAAACATAAAATATTCATAACAAAACAAAGGGACTTGCAGAGGAGGACAATGAAAGTTTTTACCTGCAGCTCCAGTAGGAGTAGGGCTCCCTATTCATGAATAATTATATCTCTGCTTTTTGCAGCACCTTTACTTCTGGATAACTTTGTTATAAATATTAAAAGAAGGGAAAAATGAGTTAAATTTCAGATTTGTTCAAGTGTACTTAAATAATTTATGTCAGCTGAAATGTTCCCATTTTCAGTGCAGAAATTTTGTAATGAAGCCATTATTCAGACCTTGCATAAAAAATATTCTAAAAGCCTACTTATTTAGAAGTGTAATAATCCCATTCACTGTGTTAACCATGTGCCCCTGGCTAAAATATGTATTTATGGATTTAGCAAAGTATTTGAATATACAGTATAAGATTCAAAGCAGAAGTTGAAGTATGACCTCAGGTTGTGTATTTCATCTCACAACAATAAGATGTATGGCTACATTTAAATGAAGGTGTGTAAGAGCAAAATCTTGAAGTACATATAACTAATTTCTAGGATTTACAAATTATTTTTTAAAAATGCCTTTTTTTTAACCCCAATTTTGTTTAGGTTAGTGGGACGATGTATAATACAGGGAGACATGTATCTCTACGATTAGACAAAGAGCATTTGGTCAACATCTCTGGAGGACCGATGACATATAGTCACCGCTTAGAGGAAATCCGGTTACACTTTGGAAGCGAAGACAGCCAGGGATCAGAGCATCTACTCAATGGACAGGCTTTCTCTGGAGAGGTATGTCAACGTATTTGGAGTTACAAATGAACCAGTATGAATTACCCACTTCCCATTTCTGCCTGAAGGTATTTGCAAACTAATTTGTACTCATAAAAATTGTTTCCCTTTATTCATTCTGAAAATCAAGGAATTACTTTTTTTTTTTTTTTTTTTAACCCATGCACTGCAAATTGTGTGACTCATATCTAAAAAGGAAACTGTTGTATTTATTGTATGCATAGACACCCTGTATTCTCATATGCACTACTTACAAAGTAATCAAGTATCTTTTGATGGGTCTTTATATCCCTAGTAAACGCAAATACAAGATTAACCACAAAGTAATACTAAAAAGTGCTTCAAGTTCTTATGAAAGTGCTACTTTTGCTACTCACTGGTGTGTAACACTTTACATTGAGTATCATTCTGCCTTTGATTCATGTAAAAATAAGGTGATACTTAATTTTAGAGATGGTTCCACAGAAGCCTGTGCTAAGAAATAAAGTTAACTCCACAAGTCAACCCTGGCAGAATTGGTACTTCCTTTGTATTTTAAATGCATGTCTGTAACTGTCCCAGAAAAGACCATAATTTAATGATCCTGATAGCTATGCAGGAAAGCCCATTATCTTTGCTGGATAAATATTTTAGTCTTGTATAGGGAGTACTTTTTCAAGATGTGTAATAAAGTTTGCAGACTTTCTGGTAGACAAAGCAGAATCTTTCCATCCTTTTCATGTAGGAGCATTTTTACGTAGAAGAAATGCACGGGTTTTGTAGTACCCCCTCCTTCATCAGCTTGTGCCATGTCTGTGAACCATCTAGCATACAACTCTACTCCACAAATCTTAACAAATAAAATAATGCTTCAGAATAACTGCGTATTACTGTAGATACTCAAGGTATCCTTTTGCCATTCTTTCAGAAGAGCAAAATGAATAGTTTTTCATAATAAAGCACTTATTTTCTGGGAGATGAATAATCAAATTACCATCTGTACTATCTATCACAGACTCTGGTGATGAGTCAGTTAATGCGTGGCATTTTCTCTGGCACTGTGCAACAGCAGTTATTTAAGAGTAGGAAATTAATTGCAGACTTGTCAAATCATGGTATTATAATTGATGGTAATCATTTGGTTTGTTTTATAAGCTACATAGATGTATAATATAGCCAGTGACAGCTTTTTCATGAAATTATTTGTGTCTTACACAACTGACTTCTGGTTGCCTTCGTTAAATTTTATGGTAAGTGAACATATAATGTATTTCTCCTTTAAGAGCTGAAAGTTAAGCATGCTGTGGTAAATAATGTCTTTGCTTTGCCACTCAGATTTACGGAAGAGTTATACTCAAAAAAATGAAGGTTTACTGAACAAGAAAACAAAAATCTGGTTGAAACATACCATTGCACTTGTTATGATGTGTCAGCGTAATTTCAGATATTTTGAGAAGAGTTTTTAAGTTATAAATTCATCAGTCATAGACTATAACAAAAGGTAAAAATGTAGACCACTGTTTTGCCATACTTAGTGTTAATACTTAACTAGGTTCTTCTGGTTTTGAAAGTAGGGAGTTTTGAAGTACTATTAACGTTTGGTATTATTTGCTAACAGAGACCTCAAGTTTTTCTTAATAAAAGCAGAAAACCTAGCTAAGTGGAAACCGCTGTCAGCCAGTCAGATATGCACAGCTGGATCCACAGTATATGCAGGATTCATCTAGTTATCTGAATTCCTCCTGCAGTGAATAGAAAGAGATTAGCATCTTCAGAGGATGATCATTCCTGATGGCCAGAGACGCATCTTTTAGGACAGGACAAATCACCCTGTGGAGATGCATCTCCCTTGACGACAGAGCAGAGACAAACAACAGGCCAAGAAGCTTAGACTGGACACCTCCATTTCAGATGGCGAGATTAATTCTGTCCTTTGAGGATGTGTTTTTCAAAGTTCAGATAGCCATTTTGGGCAGCTAGACAGGAAAGTTCCGATAAGGTCAAGTATTAATTACTAATTTGAACCTGCATCTCCACGGTTAAGTCTTACTTATACAACACATACTGTTTTCAAAGTACAAGAACAGATTCAAATGAATCATGCTGAATAGCATGGGTGCAAATTTTCAGTGAAGGACAGCAGCTGACAGTGTTCTTAGAATATACATCCACCCATACACGTGCTGTCTATATAAATAAGTGATAAGCTCTCAGCACTGGAAGATGTAATGTCTACAGCTCCCAGCAACTACAGTAAGAAAACTGTAGACAAGCTATCTGACTTTATGATAGAGTACATGTCTTTATAATGTAACGTATGCTTTCAAGACTGTTGCTGCTAATTACTGTCACTTCTGCATTGTATAATGCTGTCAGAGGAGATGGGATAAAGAAAAATAATAGCATAAGTGCATTAGTTTAATTTAGCTAGTGCAGGTAAGAACAGCAATGAATATTTGCTGGCTTAGGCTTTAGCAGGTGTCGGTAACCTAGAGAAAAATCATTGCAGGATTACACTGTTTGACTCCTAATTGCACACTAACTCCCATGACACTGCCTTGTTACTCCTATTCTTATTTGTGTTGGACAAACCCACTAAGGGTTTTACTGAAACCTCTGTTTTGCTGTGGAAACAAGTCCCAGGGATGAAGTTACCCAAGAAGTGTGATCCATTCCAGTAGATCACAATCAGCTCATTCCTACTCTTCCTTCCCTCCACTCCCATCCGTATCTGTCCCCTCATTTTCACCGAGGTCTCCAATGCACATTAGTCAGGACGTTGCAGAGAGAAAGGGTAACCTGGGGAGAGGTCAGGGGAGAGAGCAGTACCTCTCCCTCACAGATTGGCTCAAACAGACTAAATTAAATCCAAGGGCAGACAAGGCAGAAGCTTTAAACAGCCCCAATATATCTTTAATCGGTTGCAATGTTCTTTACACATCTGGAAGTCCCATCTAACATCCATACTAAGCAAGAAGTTTGTTCTTAGGGATGTTTTTTGCCTACTGAATGTGTCATGCAAGTGGGCAGGCATTCAGAGCAAGCTAGAGAGCACTGGAGTGGCACCATGGCATGAAAAACAATCTAGAAATAGCAAATTGCTTCAAAATATACTGTGATCTGAATGATACCGAGAGGCTTGTAATTTCCAGGCTTTAACATTTAACTAGGTGTTAAAGGCTGTCAAGAGATATCTCTACAATAATCTGGTTAACTTTTAGCCCCTAATTATCACTTTAGTAGGCAGAATAACCAAACTAATGCTTAAATAGTTTGAGTATAAGGGCTTTAAAACTGTGTATCAGATTATCATCAATATGTTTGGCACTGCTAATGTGGAAAGAAAGGGAGGTTTTGGAATGCTTAAATAAATAAATCGAGCATTTACTTGTCCCTCTGATACATACTTGAGTGTGTTTCATTCCCTACTCTTTGCATAAGCATCCTACTGTATTATCATGATTAAAAGAAAATCTTGGCTCAAGCAAAGTCCCAAACTAAGACACCAATCCTTTGTGTCTGCTGCCTAATGTCTCTATGCAAAACAGTTTTTAATGCTTCGGAGTCCATATCATTTAATGAGAAAGACCATCTTCATTTCAGACAGCAGCAGTACAAAATACAACAGAACTTACCAGAGTGCTGCTGTTCAGGCACTGTCTACCTTGTTAAAACAAAAAGGTAACAATCTCCAAAAGGTTCATGGTGAAAATGGGATCCTTTAACTTTACGATGTGGCAAAGTCATAAAAATCCATACCAATTTCTTTTCCTAAGCAGAAAAATGAAAAATGTGCTGCAGGAGACCTCCAGCCACTTTGGCTGTGCATTGTAGTAGCCATATCAATGTAAAGGCAGAAAGTCAAGGAGCTTAATTATTTGGTGTTATGCACTTTTCACAAACTCAATAGCTGGAGGCTTTCAAACAAGAGACCATAGTCCACAACACATGAAAAAAACAGATTTCTTCTTCTCTGTCTACCAAGTCACCCTTCAAAAACCCACTGACAGAGGTTATAAACACCCAATGATTTCATCCGCTACATAAGAAATAAAATGAAAGCCAGAATACTATCTAGATAAATGGATATGTATTGCAAGCTATACACACAGTTTGGAACTGAGATTTATGTTTGCTGCTGCTAAAAGCCACTAAGACAACTGAATAAAATACATGAAAATGGGAATCAAAGGGGGAGGCTGGAAATTCTGGAATGCCAGCCTTCTCCTACTACTGCAATTTCTTTAACTGCAGGCATATTCCATACGAGTGGGGAACTTCTAGTGATAGTAAAGGATTACGTATCAGAGAGATCAGTGTTGCAAATCCAACTTCTGATATTTTTAGAAGCAGGACTGTCAGATAGACAGCCTATGAGAAGCATCAGGCCAGCTGGAATAATATAATCCAGCCTGCTGCAGAATTAGTCTGAATTGTTAAATCGGGAACAGTGGCTCTGTCACTGAGACCTTCTGTACACCTTTGACTTGCCTGTGTGGTTCCAAATAGCCTCCCCAAAAATCCTAATGTTGGTATTGTTTATTAAAAAAAAAAAAACCACAAAAAAAACCCCCACCACCAACGAAAAACCCTCTACTCTAATAAAGGACTGTATCTGTACTATGACTTTAGATACGTTGGCAAAACAGAAAAGTCATGGCCAGTTAGCATGCCAGAAGAAACAGCAAGTACAGGCCAACTATATTGTATTGCTTGTTACAAGCCATTTACATCTCCTTTTATTTGATAAGGGCCCCATCTTCTTCCCAAAAACTTCATCACATAGAAGGTGAGCGTTCAGTTGTGCCGCCCATGTGACATTTAACTCAGGACTCTGCCTCCTTTTCTAACCTATGTGTCTGCAGTTCTGCACAAAAGCCCGTT